CGAATAAACTGACTTCATTTTATCAGGTTCACTTTTTTACAAGAGGATGTGAGATATATCTATTGCAAAATCGGTATTGCATTGCGTATGAAAGAACTATAGCACTTTTCTGGCATTTTGTTGTGATTGTTAGTTAACTAATTAATTTAATAAAACGCGGAAAAATAAATACCCACCTTCATATCTAGTTAAACGTAAAATCAGTGCCATTGACTGTACAAATGGTATCATAACCTCAAAAATAGCGTGATTGGCCAGGTGGCCAATAACTAACATAATAGCACAGTGACGATCATAGTCCTTGGCACATAAAATATTTTATAGATTTTTCAATTTCACCTAAAAAATTTATTATTCAACGATAATTAATCTATATTAATTCACTATAGCACAAAGTATAAATGCTATGATTGTTGAAAATTCATTGAATAGTTACCAAAGCATGGCGTCTACACTACGACTTTATATAACTTTTATGATTAATCTCAATGAAGCCTTATCTCTTATTGCTGCAAATAAATTTAACATCCGTAACAATGTCAAGTATTCATAGTTTCATAAACGTTAGTTTTTAAAGAATGGATGTAATAATTTTATAAATAACATAACATATAGAGATTTCTTATATTTCTCTATATAACTATGGGGGAGAGGGGGCAACAACTGTATTTGTTACCCTTATGTATCCCTGCAACTTGAACGCCTATCGTGCGAGACGGCTGGTGATTCTACACTTAGAATTAATGCAACTTTTAATATTTGATCTCCAGAAAATAACACAGGCCGATCTGGTATATCCGAAGGAATTTTATGCGCTGAATTCGAAACTGGTCTCAGAATTGATCCGTTACCCCCAGTTTCTAAGATTTCCTAACCGAAAAGTGCAGAAAATAAAACAGAATCATGTACCCATTGGAACAACCCGCTGTAAGCAATGATGTTACAAAAAAAATTCGCGGCCACCCTCTCCGTGGCACCATTACTAAATTATTGAACGAAAAAGTATTAGAAAATATGGCCGCTAGTACTTGGCAGCGTATGTAAGGTAAGTTTTGGACTTTGGGGCCTGTAAGTACTGGTATAATGGCTATTTTGATTATCATTCAAGGAATCACGATGTTGGCTGATGTTTAAGTCAATGGAATTGCGTTTCATCGCATACGAGGTGTGATCAAAAAGTAAGGTGAATTTTTATTTTTCTCAAAAAATATTTATTTATTCATCAATTTTCATTTTATCTCCTTCAAAGTAATACCCCTCGGATATAATGCACTTGTGCCAACGCTTTTTCCAATCCTCAAAGCATTTCAAAAAATCATTTTTTGTGATCTTGTTTAGTTCATCCTTCGATGCCGTCTTTATCTCCTCAATTGTGGCAAAACGCCGTCCTTTCATGGGCCTCTTCAGTTTTAGGAACAAGAAGAAGTTACAGGGGGCCAGATCTGGTGAATACGGTACCTGTGGCATCGATACTGTGTTGATTTTAGCCAAAAATTCGCGCACAAGCAACGACGTGTGAGCAGGGGCGTTATCATGGTGCAAAAGCCAATTTTTATTTTTCCACAAATTCGGACATTTCTGGCGGATTGCTTCGCGCAAATTGCGCATAACTTGCAGGTAATATTCCTTATTTACTGTTCTACCCTTGGCAAGAACTCATGATGCACCACGCCCCTGCAGTCAAAGAAAACTGCAAGCAAAACCTTTACATTTGATCGAACTTGGCGTGCTTTTTTTGGTCTTGGTGATCCAGAATACCTCCACTGGGACGATTGAGTCTTAGTCTCGACGTCATAACCGTATACCCATGTTTCGTCACCTGTTATAACCCTGTTGAGTAAATCTGGATCATCGTTGATGTCATTCAGTAGCTCTTGGGCGATGCTCATGCGACGTTTCTTTTGGTCGAAATTGAGCAATTTCGGAACAAACTTCGCTGACACACGTCTCATGTCTAAAACACTCGTCAAAATTGATTGGCACGAACCAAATGAGACGCCAATATCATCAGCAATTTCTCTAATGGTAATTCGACGATTTCCCAACACTATTTTCTTCACTTCTTCAACATTCTCATCAGTTGTGGATGTGCTGGGGCGTCCAGAACGAGGTTCGTCGTCGGTGTCTTTTCGGCCTTCTTGAAAGAATTTATACCACTTGTAAACATTTTTTTGGCTTAAAGTAGACTCACCGTATGCCACTTTCAGCATTTCAAGTATTTTGGAACATTTGATTCCATTTTTCACACAAAATTTAATGCAAACTCTTTGATCCATGTTTTTAGACAGCAGCAAATCGTGGAGCACGCAAAACACTTCTAACCTTGATGCCTCTCACAAACAAACCAAACATACTACAAAGCTGAAATTTGGAACGTATGTTCTAGACGAGTGTACCGACATAACCAAATAAAAAAGTCGAAGATCGAACGGACGTAGCCCGCTAAATTTCAAAATTCACCTTACTTTTTGATCACACCTCGTACATAACGCACCCGAAGAATTTCGATGCGCTAAATCCAAATCCCAGCTTAGAATTGCGCCAGCACGTCAGTATTCCGAGATTCTAGAAGGCTATAATCTGCGTGGTCATAACCCTAAATCCCAAAAACCCCCGACCCCTTAACCTTTAACTGCCCCCTTAACCTTAAATCCGTTAACCCTGTAGCCCTGAAATGTGTGATGTTATAACCCTCGATGCCGTTACGCAAATCCCTTAATGCCTGAGCCCAGTAATTTGCGCCACAAGGAATCTAGGGCTATTGTATCGCAGGTTACATGATTCCGAGGTGAAGAAATTCGGGGTTAAATTGGCAGGTTTTATTGCCGCGCTTGTTATAACCTTCATGGGTTAAAATATTTGGGGTTAAGGGGACGGGGATTATTGCATCGACGGTCACAGGGCTCGGGGGTTAAGGGATTTAGGGTTAAGTGGGCAAGGTTTATTGCCCCGCAGGTTACAATGCTCCAAGATCAGGGATTTTTGATCACACCTCGTATATGGATGGTCATTCCATTTACTAGCAGTAATCTAGAACACCTTAACGACCCTTCTACTACATTTAGCTCCAACGACAACTACTACTAATGACGTTCAAGATGTTGAAGCACCACAATTTCAGCTTTCACCCAACTGTTCACCCAAAGAAAACTCATATATTCCATTACCAACTGAAGAACATCAACGACCAAAACATTTACCTGTACAACCTGTTAAAAATGCCTTGGGATTCATCTCCTAATTAGATTGTAAATGGATTGTAACGACTTGACTTTTCTTTTATTATTTATCATTCTTTTTATGTGTTTGCAAGTTTCAAAACTATTTTCTATATATAACGGTTACTTTTCCTCGTTATACTCCTCAAGTAACCGTGGGGGTTTTACTGTGGCGGGTGTAACGTCGGATAACTAATAATAATACTGTATTTTATTCTAACTTATACTACAGTAAAAGTGCACCAAGTTGTACAAAATTTGAAATGCCATTGGAAAGCAAGAATACTTTGAAAGTTTCTCTTATCAAGGTTTACTGTAATTCCTAATGAAGACAAGCTGACCAAATAACCAACTATTTGAAAACATAGCTATAAAAAAAAAGAAAGATTTACTACTTTGTTTTGCGCATCCATTTACTTAGAGCGTCCTTGTGTTAATAGCATGGTCAGCCGATGCTCAAACCCTATTCCGGAACGCAGTGAGATAAAGAAAGATAAAACCTTTCAAACACGTTTCCTTACAAGGTTTTATTTTTCTGTTTAGTACTATATAAAATTTCTACAATAAAAATTATAAATTTGTCCTACCTTTCGTCTGACTACCTCCTCTTCAACCTACAGTGCCGAAACCGCTGCTTTCAGCGCACCATAGTGCTTAAAAGCCGTGCTCTATTGGAAAAGTAGTAGTAGTAGTAGTAGTAGTAGTAGTAGTAGTAGTAGTAGTAGTAGTAGTAGTAGTAGTAGTAGTAGTAGTAGTAGTAGTAGTAGTAGTAGTAGTAGTAGTAGTAGTAGTAGTAGTAGTAGTAGTAGTAGTAGTAGTAGTAGTAGTAGTAGTAGTAGTAGTAGTAGTAGTAGTAGTAGTAGTAGTAGTAGTAGTAGTAGTAGTAGTAGTAGTAGTAGTAGTAGTAGTAGTAGTAGTAGTAGTAGTAGTAGTAGTAGTAGTAGTAGTAGTAGTAGTAGTAGTAGTAGTAGTAGTAGTAGTAGTAGTAGTAGTAGTATTACTAGTCCTACCCTGTTGAAAAAATCCTGTAGGATTTCCAACTGAAATTTCCAGCTGAATTTCTAGCTGAATTTCTAGCTGGATTTCTCTGGATTTCCACCTGAATTTGACTGGATTTACAGTTGTATTTTCAACTGAATGTAGGTGGATTTTTTATTTCTAAAAATTCAGTAGGATTTCCAACTGAATTTTTCAACTGGATTTCTAGCTGGAGTATACTGGATTTCTACTTGAAATCACTGGATTTACAGTTGAATTTTCAACTGAATGTAGGTGGATTTTTAATGCTGTTGAACAAATTCAGTAAGATTTCCAACTGGATTTCTCGCTGGATTTATAGGTGCAAATACTACACTGAATGGATTTCGAAAAAAAATTAGAAATGCAATTTTTATTATTAAATATATTTAAATATTGGTGAAATCAATAAATATTACACTCATAAAGTAACTTAATTTGTTTAATTTCTAGTTCGCAAAATCATAAGTATATTTTATAAATATACTACATAATGGTAACGTGTACGCCTTTTAAACATATTGAAAATACTTTTCAAAGATAATTCTGTATTTTTATGATCACATTAATATCACACATGAATGAATCATACATTAGTCTTGAAGTATCATTAAACTATCTTTCGATTTGTAATTTAGAGAGGAATATACCTTTTTTAACAATATTTTGAATAATTGTAGTTGAATAAAAAGAAAAAAATAATCCGCATTATATTATTTTTCTATTAGAAAAATAATCTTGACAACGGTCAAGTGATTAAAATAATGAGTAGCCACATAGATGATTATTTTACATTATAAAAAACATTTGAAATATAAATATCGACTGTGAATAGACTAAAGAGGAACAACTATTACTAAAAGAAAAAAAAATGTTAAAGTACGATTTGTACTTAAATCTAATAATAACTTCTTGCATACATTACTGCACGTTGACTTTTTTGCGCATACTCTGAATATAAGCATTGATTTCTTCCGTCAAGTAAGAATTTCTTTCAATTGATAAGTCTTTCATAGATGGTTTTGCTTGGCCTCTTTTCTTTTTAAAATATAAAAGACATCCTGCGCAAGGAATTATTTATAAATAATGGATTAATGAATTATATATATATAATGGAGAACGGTTGGAATGATAATATATGTACGTACTGTCTAAAATATCGAGTTTAAGTAAATCAAAAGGCTTTCTACAGTTTTTTTGTTTGGTATAACCTTCGTTGAGTGAGCTTTGATACATTTTCTTGCACGATCTTCCTCAGAAGGGTACATGTGTCGAAAAATCATTGACAAAAAGTATTTTGCTTCTTTTCTTATGTATTTTTCCCAATTCTCTAAGGGAATTTTGAGTTGATCAGTTATTTTAAATACTTTTATCTGTAACAGATCAATAAATATACATTATAGATATTTTATTTATATTTCAAAAATTATTTACTATTACTTTTTTGTCAAAGAGAAATCATAAGTTCAAGCACGTGCATAAATAATTGAATATTAAATTAATTAATTAAATAAGTCAATTTAATAGGATAATTAATATAGGACATTACATAATTACCTTGTATCCATCTTCATCGATGATTGTATTTTTGTGTCCAAAATTCTTGAAACGTGAATCAATTGACGGTAAAGAACTTGCTCCTGTGTTGTTTGATTTATTATCTTCAAAATCATGGTTGCTGTTTGCTTTTTCATTAGACTGGGGCATCTTGTGTGTAAATAATTTCTTGGAACTAGAAATTCCTGCTGCTAGTTAGAAATTCGGTTTCACTAACAATAAGACCGATATGCTGAGGTTTCTTCAATGGTAAGTTAAACGAGTTTTCATCATCAGAATCAAAAATTATCCCTGCAAATAACAGAAAATTCCATTACAACGATTATTTGACGATGTTTTTACTTGTTTATTGATTATTATACTTGCTTTTTCTGGGATTCTGTGACTTGAACAAAATAGGGCTGTTCTTTGGTGATACTGTTACTGATTCTTTTGTTGTCTTGTAGACTTTCTAACACATTTGAATTTAAAGGTGCAGATGAGTCTTCGATAGGTTTATAATTGTGCTGGTTCTTTATTTCAGCATTACTTTTTTGCATCTAAATTGATTCTTTGCTGCAGCATTACAAACGTCACAAAATAACATAATATCAATACATTTTTTTACTGTTTTTTGAAATAACGTGCTCACTTTTTGATCCAAGATATCTTCTTGCAATTTTTTGTTGTGCTCTTTAACTCTTTTTTTCGTTTCTTTATCTTCAGCGTTGATTTTTTTCTGTTTATCAATTTTTTCAATTAACACGTTTGTGGCATGATCTTTTTGTAGATATTCATCTATAACTGAAGTATTTAAGCGTTGAAAATTTCCTCTTTTGGCCTTGAAATTATATAATTCTTCATCCTCTTCTAAAGAATTTAAAACTATGAATATAAAAAAATTAAATGTAGTCATAAACTTAGTCTCATTTGATTTTAATACAAACATAGGAATCTCACCTGCTAAGCCCCCTATTTGTACAGGTACTAAATTTTTAACACCCTTCTCATCAGCCAGTTTGCACTCATATACTTTCTGCTTTTCATAATCATTACAGTCACAAGGACGTTTGTCTTGGAAATCAACAACATCCGATATTTTTACAACTGTAATCTTCTTATTATTAAAAACCAATCTGACTTTTACGTGCGTTGGTTCAGTCACAGAACAATAAGTACGTTCAGAGGCACAACTCATCTTTGCAGCATATTTATACCACAGATAGAAGATTCAAGTTTTCTGAAATTTATAAATAGAAAATTTGTCCATTCATTGACAAATATTTAAAAATGAAATATTTTCCAGAAATCACAAAACAAAAAGTCAAAGTATACCTGAGCAAGTGTAAGTGAAGGAACAGCATAAAATACATTAATCGCCGACCATGCAACTGAGATGGAAAAACAGAGTTAACTCAGTGTTGAATAATTTATTAAGAGAACCGATGAAGGTGCTGAGATTGAACTGGAATAAAATAAAAATAAAGTACTTTTATTGAAACTTTTGTAAATGCGCTAGTGTAAATACATCTCTCACTCACTCTCTGTCTCTATCTCTCTCTCTCTCTCGCATGAAGTATTCCGAGAAGCTGTGTTAAAAGAAAAAAGTTGAATTTTCTTAGATATCTATGATATTATCTTAGTGCTATAATACTACTAATCGTGATATGATTTAAACTTTGGTGTTGCTAATTTCTAAATACAAATGTTTTTAATACACTAGCATCTAATACAGCTGTAAATTAAGACTTCTAAAGCTATTCGATTGATTGAAAAAAACCATCAAACTTATATACTTACAATGTAAAGACTGTTCTTCTTCAACGACTTTCTTTCAACAAATTGACGTTGAAAAAGATGAAATAGCTACGTTGTTTACTAATACCAGTAAAATTTATGGCTTCACTCCCACCAGTGCACCACTAGAATAATGCTGCTGCTCGCCACTGCCTGCATGTTTACACTCTACAGCTACACTGACAATACGCACTACTGCAGTGCTGCCAAACTGTGTCAGAAAAAGAGGGCCCTCATCAACATGTGTGGGAATTCTGAGAATTCAGCTTTGTCTAATAAAATTTGGCGCGTAAAGCATCTATAGTCAGTATATAGGTTCAGTGGCCGACATTCATTTTTGCCTGTGGACAGAATCCACGGAATCAATTGCAGATTCCGCCGACGGTCGATTCTGTCCACTGACAGAATCGACCGTTGGAAAAGGTTCAAGCAACGAGTATAATCGCCTATCTTCGTTGATACAAGTATTAACGAACAGTGTTTGTTGTTTTATATAATTCATTCAAGACAACCGTGGACGACCAATAACAATCTATGAACTGCGCAGTAAGTATTATTATTGAGAAATGACAATTATTATTTGTCTGGATGTAACAAACAAAAAAATTCCAATCATACCATCAACATGCAGTAGCATTTATCAAGTTATATCGGAAACAGCTCTGAAAATCTAAGTTTTTTTCATTTTGAAAGTCATTTTATAATTCCTCATGCTGCCTGTACACTCCTCTATGCTATATACACTATACAAAAGTCAAACAAAATTATGCTTCTACAACGATAATTGCAATAACAAAATTACATTACATATAAAGCAAAATATTAAGTAATATTTCATTTCTAAATAGTTAACCTGTACATTATAGCTCATTCTTTTATAGGATGAGAGAAAACAAAAGTACTAATGCAGTACCATATGAATTAGACATGCATTTGAGTGTACGATATACCTTAAACAATTGCCTCATCTCCCATCAAAATTTGGTGCAAAGGTGTTGAAAGATTTTGTTTTGGTTCCGTTGATCCTCTGTTTTTGGAGCTCCTACTTGGCTAATCTTCCGTACTGCTTGCATTAGCTACATAACTGTAAAAATTTTAATTAAAATGATTTTGCTTGACATTGAAGGTAGAATTATCATTAACTTACTTTATTTTAATTTTTTTCTGTTACATATCAACGCCTTCGTCCAATTTTATTAGTAATGAATTCTTCAATACTGGGCACGCTTTGTTTATATGTATCAGTTGCTCGCTGTAGTTTATGTATTGTACAGGTTGATTCACTTAGCACGGATCAGGTATGCTTGGCATTTTTATTTTATAGCTTCTGCTTCAATGAATGCACTTTTGAATAATTTTTATTACATACATGTGCCCAGGTTGCAGGAACATAACCTAAAATAAGAATTTAAAAAATACACAGAGCATGCTACCTTTAATTGTAATGGATTAAGTATGTTGTGAGTTTACTTCTCAAATACGGCCTATCTGTTGGCTGCGTTAAAAAAATAAAATCATACTTAAATAAATACTTATCTGAATTAATTTTGCAGCTGCTCTTAATTAAATTAATTGTTATGGTCAAATTTTATTTTGGACAACACGAACAGGTGTTATTTTGAAGCAAAGTTAACAGCTGTCTTCTGTTATGAGTACTGCTGCGGACTCATGGAGCTGACTGCATGACATTCAACGAATAGAAGTTAGATCTTGAAAGTAAACAAGCACATACAACAAAATACTTAAGACAGTTCAACATTTTTGTCTTAATTAGCACCTTACGTATATGAAATTGCATAAAAAAATAGTCATTTTTTCAATTGACATACTGAATTATAGATATAATTGTTGTTATAATTTTAGAAGCTTAGGTCTTATACATTTTCACCAATCTTTTGACAATCATTTGTTAATTAAAAAAATTGTTTATCGATATTTTTGTAGTGTAACCTTTTTGGTGTCAGGTAAGGGGATTAAGCTACTGTAAATCCACTATTTCCCAAAAAACTTTTTCAATGAAAAATTGAGCCAACAAGTGAAAAAGCAAGGACTGCAGATTGTACCACATTGAGTTTGAGAAGAGCTAAGCTCGCATTAACACCAACATCTATGAATTGTTCAAGTAATAATATAAGCACATTTTTTAATTCATTATGCTGCTATCAATAATTGTATTGAGATGTGCTATTATTCTTTGTATTTTCAAGTGAATCTAGTGTCATAAATAATATTGGCTATGATCATATGGCTGAAAGTAGTATTGGTGATGCTATAGCTAGTGTACGTAGGTATACTGAATCTATATACTATGACGATTCCGAAGATGACAGCATTGGCACAGGGGATGTTACCCACTTTATACGTAATTGGCGGCAATCGTCAATATCACTGTATACTGATAGTGGTATTCCTCAATGTTTTATATTGCGCTTAAAGCAGCTTATAACGCATTTCTAAGTACACTATTTCATTTTTAGATAACGTAGAACATAGTATTGGAAATGAGCCAGTCGATATAAACACATCTAACATGGGATCATATATCCACAAGGTAATTAGAAAATGAATTATTATTTTTATATTTTCTCCTAATAATTCAATTGAATAATTAATAAAATCACCTCCTAAATCTCATGCAATTTATGAAATCACTAAAATTTTTATTTTTATAAATTCTAAAATTTTAATATGGCAGATTAGTGCAATATATATATATATATATTTATAATATATATATATATATATATTATAAATTATGTTTAGAAAATTAATATTAATGTATTACAATGATAAAGTGATAGATATATAAGAGTGATAATTATTATTTCAATAAATTAAAACATCTTATTTGCAGGATTATCCGTCTCCTGAGAATATTGAAGATCAGTTATTCAATTATACCGATACAGACGAAGACGAAGAAGATTATGAAGATTATCACCTATATAATCAAGAAGAACAAGAAAGCGTTAATCAGTTTGAAAAATTAACAGACTTTTTAACAAAAGATGAATCGAATGAAACAATTGATTCACATTTGGTTGTAAATGTAACAGAAATAATCATAGCTGTTATAGTATTTAGCAAAACCTATTCTCTTCCTCATAGTGGAGTTGCCGATCTGTTTAAAATGATCAATTCATTTTTAGATAAGCCTGCACTGCCAGAAACGCGTTATAAAATCGACAAGCTATTTTATCCAAAAACAGGACAAGAATATCATTCAGTCTGCCCTACTTGCAGGTGTTATGTAGGTGTTTTTAATCATAATATACGAACATTGTATTGTGATGTATGTCAAAAAAATATTAACTTGAAAGATCCATCCTACAGAGATTTTTTTGTAAACATCGATCCCGAAAATGATATAAAGTATCTTATAGAAAATAATGCAGATTATTACTCTAAAATCATCGCTGAAAATAATCAAGCAAACACTGTTATGGAAGACATTCATCATGGAAAAAAATACCAACAATTCGTAGCATCGCTTTTGCCAGAACATAAGAAATCTTACGTTAGTTTGACTTTCAATATGGATCACCATTGTTTAAATGCTCAAAATTTTCGGTATGGCCGATCCAGACAATGATAAATGAATTTCCACTGCGTGTTCGAACCAAAAATACAATTATTTGTTCTATTTGGTTTGGCCATAATAAGCCAAAAATTACCTATTTTTTACAACCATTTGCTCGTGAAATGAATGATTTAGCAAGAAATGGAATAGAATGCAAACTTGATGGAGAAACAAAAAAACTCTACGTGTATTGCATATGTTCTTGTGACGACTCAGTCGCACGTGCCCCAATGCAAGGCATTTCTCTATTTAACGGTTTTTATGGTTGTTCATGGTGCTTGCATCCGGGTGTACGAGTTTTACATAAAACTGGATTTGCTACGAAATATCCACTGTTAGATGAAGTTCCTAAACTTAGAACTGCTCATGAAACTTTTGAGAATATGCAAGCTGCCTTAACTTCTAGAAAACCAGTCTACGGTATTAAAAATGCAACACCTTCAATTTATCTAAACAGATATGATGTTATTCATGGTTTTGTGCCTGACTCTCTGCATTGCATCGACAAAGGAATTGGGCCTTAGTTTTGTGATTATTGGTTTCATTCAACTGGTAAGCCTTATTCTTTTGCAAAACATTACATTGATGCTATCGATGAGTGTATAAAAAGTTTAAAAGTACCTACACAAATAGCACGTTTGTCTCGCTCGATCAAGGATCGGAAATTCTGGAAAGCATCGGAGTGGTCTAACTTTATTTTATTTTATAGTGTACCAGTATTGTCTAACATTATCCCAGGCTTTGAAAAATATATACAACATTGGTCACTACTCGTCGAAGGTTATCATTTGTTACTGAAAACCAAAGTGAGCTTAACAGATATTGGAATAGCACACAAGTTGTTCAAAAGGTTCATTTGTTTAACACAACTGCTTTACGGAGAGGATGCTATGAGCTACAACGTACACCAGCTCTGGCATGTTACCCAAAGTGCAGCACATTGGGGACCGTTATTCGTGCATTGGGGTTACGGTTTCGAGTCCGGAAACGGTAGAATAATTCAAACAGTTCATGCTCAAAAGGCGTAATAAATCAAATTTGCAGAAGTTTTTGTTTAAATCTAAGTATTCTGATATTAGAAAAACATCTTGCTCAAAATGAATATTCATCTATCAGCAATTATATAAACTATTTACAAAATAAAGACGATGTACAGATAACAAAAATAGGAAGACAAGTAGATATTTTGGAAACCCAAAAAATGTTAAACAGGAATATTTAACGCTTTTAAATAGACGAAACAATGAATTACAAGCTTTTAATAAAATGGTTAAAAATGGATGTATATTCAAAGCAAGTGAAAATTATAGGTCTGATAATAGATTTGCAATTTTAACTGATAACACTTTCATTAAAATAGAAAAATTCTTAGTTGATACAGTTACTCAAAAAGAATGGACTATTTACAAAAAATTATTCGTTGGAAACTCAGCAATTACTGAAGAATTACATTCGATGAAGAAAATTCATTACATAGAGCAATATCCTGAATTTACTGAAACTGACAATATTGAAAGAGTATGCGTCCACATTAATATTACCGACAATGAATATATTTTACCTTTGCAGAATATGTATTCAAAATAGAAAGTAATACTTAGATTTTAAACTAAATGTATTTTTAATCATCAATTTAGGCTGTATACTCTGCATGTGGCTAAAATTTATTTGTTTTTTAGCTTATCTTCGAAAGTTTTCAAATATTTCATATTTCTATGTACATAGATAATATGTATTGTTTAAAAAATTGACGATTAATTATATTTATAATACGTATTCATGACCATTTTAAATCCATCTATGAAAGACTCATCAATTGAAAGAAATTCTTACTTGACGGAAGAAATCAATGCTTATATTCAGAGTATGCGCAAAAAAGTCAACGTGCAGTTATTATTAGATTTAAGTACAAATCGTACTTTAACATTTTTTTTTCTTTTAGTAATAGTTGTTCCTCTTTAGTCTATTCACAGTCGATATTTATATTTCAAATGTTTTTTATAATGTAAAATAATCATCTATGTGGCTACTCATTATTTTAATCACTTGACCGTTGTCAAGATTATTTTTCTAATAGAAAAATAATATAATGCGGATTATTTTTTTCTTTTTATTCAACTACAATTATTCAAAATATTGTTAAAAAAGGTATATTCCTCTCTAAATTACAAATCGAAAGATAGTTTAATGATACTTCAAGACTAATGTATGATTCGTTCATGTGTGATATTAATGTGATCATAAAAATACAGAATTATCTTTGAAAAGTATTTTCAATATGTTTAAAAGGCGTACACGTTACCATTATGTAGTATATTTATAAAATATACTTATGATTTTGCGAACTAGAAATTAAACAAATTAAGTTACTTTATGAGTGTAATATTTATTGATTTCACCAATATTTATTAACTTAAAATAAAAACTTTATTTATTAACTTAAAATATTTATTAACTTAAAATAAAAATTTTATTTATAAAAATAAAATGAAAACAATATGACTAATTGCATTTCTAATTTTTTTTTTCAAAATCCATTCAGTGCAGTATTTGCATCTATAAATCCAGCGAGAAATCCAGTTGGAAAATTCAACTGTAAATCCAGTCAAATTCAGGTGGAAATCCAGTGAAATCCAGCTAGAAATTCAGCTGGAAATTTCACTTGGAAATCCTACTGGATTTTTTCAACAGGGTACGCGCATTTTCATTACAATGGCTTCTATTTCTTATTTTGAAAATACAGTACGCGATTTATGGAAAGCCTATTACAACTCAGACGCTAATAAGGATGATTTTATTAGATGGAAAAATATAATAATTACTGCTTTGAATTCTCTTGAAGAATATATGTTACGGCCTAACTTAAGTAGAGCAATACGACAGAGATGTCAAACATGCGCTACTCATTTGAATTCAATCGAAATTAATTTAAATAATTCCATAAAAGTCGGAGGAAATGTTAATTCATTACGAGTCATTCCAAACCAATTTGAAGGGGACGGAGTTATTTGGCGTGAAATAAATTCAGCATTTGAAAAACGTATCATTACTGCATTCATAGCCAATCAAGAACATACAGATATAAAGTCATTCTTAAAAGCAGCAAATAAACTATTACAACAACAAATACCAAAATATCTTTCAATTCATAATGCTCTAAAAATAAATATAGAAATGTCAGCTTAATTTACCGTAATAAAAGATAATGTAGAGGACATTCAAGTAAAGTATTTCAACACCGAAAATGTTTCTATTTATAGAACGACAGATCTTAAATTATGGTTTACAGAAAATATTGAAGATGTTATACTTAAAAATATAGAAGAATTTCAAGAAAAAGATTCCGGTTGGACATTAAAAACTATCATCGGTATTACTGTTAATATAAATAAATTTAATCCTTTCAAACCTGGCTCATATATTCAACTACCAAAACAAATAGCAGATGAAAAAGCAATTATCAACGTTCAAAATACAGATAATGAATGTTTTAAATGGGCTGCGCTTGCCTGTCTTCATCCAGCTAAATTTCATAGCGAAAGAATTCAAAATTATATGTCCTTTGCGAATGAATTGAAATTCGATGATATAAACTTTCCTGTTGAGGTAAAGAATATGCCTAAATTTGAAAAATTGAATAGTATTTCAATATATCTTTGGCCATAGGTTAAGAGTGTAGCCGTACTCGCAGGCGCCGAGGATGATAAGAGAGAGAGAGTGAGTTATGATGAAATCAGCGCTTTATTTCTCGCAGAAAAGTACAATTAGCTGGATCGGACGCCCAGTGACAGAGTGTCGCAGATGCAGTGCGTTGCTGCACCCGGCGCAAGCAAAAGTCCTGCTTAATAGAAGCGATGGCCGGAACACAGCAGCAAGGCCAGCTCGACGGTACCTCTCGTTCTGGTTGCTGCGGGGCTCGTCGCCTCTATATACCCAGTTCGATGGTCGAATGCCGCCCCCTCTCGTCGCTCAGATCGGAAACAAAGGCTTAGGCCGCTTAGGGATGCTAGTCGGCTTAGCGGGGATTAGCAGTATTAGCAGGATTAAGCCGCTTCGCTCTCCATGCCAATCCCGTACTCCCCAAGCCTGGCCCCTAAGCCTGTAACCTAAAGCGCAGGCATTGGCAGCGCCTCCGGTCGTGCCCAGGTGATGGCGGCACCGGTTGCACACCAACCGCCACAAATCTATACATACTAAAAAAATACGGTTTTAAATTCGAAGTCTCACGATATTATATATCAACTTTAAAACAAGATAAGCATGTAAATCTTTTGTCACTACAAAGCGATTATATTGATAAGAATGAAACAGAAAAATCTAATAGATCAAATAACAATGATAATTTCAAATTAAAATTCCACTATGTATGAATTAAAAACTTATCTGCTCTTGTTAGAAGTCAAGTAACGAAACATACTGCACAAATTTATCTCTGTGAACGTTGTCTCCACTATTTTAATAATAAAGAAAAATTGAATATTCATGAGACAGATTGTTCAAATTAAATAAATATAGAGTTAATCTACCTTATTTTGCTCTTCTAAAATTTAATCATTATGATCGAAAAGAAATGGTTCCGTTTATTATCTATGCTGATTTAGAGTGCTTATTGAAACCAGTAAATAATGGACGATCCTTCCAAGATCATGAAGCCTTTAGTGTGGGGCTTTATATAAAATGTAGTTATGATGATTCCAAATCAGTCTTTAAGATGTCTAGAAAAAAACTGAATGAAGAACAATCACCCGCACAATGGATTATCAAACAATTTCAGATTTTGTTAGATGAAATGGATCAAATATATAAGAATGCAATAGAAATGAATCTTTCATGGCGTAATCAAATGGATTTCAAGATGAGCAAAGTGTGTCATATTTGTAGAAAATATTTTCAACGTGATGAAATAATAGTTAGAGATCATTGTCATTTGACGGGCCGATTTAGAGGTGCTGCTCACGCATCCTGTAATTTAAATTATAAGAATCCTTATTTTATACCAGTCGTCTTCCATAACCTTACTGGATATGATTCTTATTTTATAATAAAAGAAATAACTACTAGCTCTGATCTTGAGGAAAATGTGACTGTTTTAGCTGAAAACAAGGAAAGATATGAGCATATCTACAGAAATGGGCCATCGTGTGTCGCCAGTATTTTTCTTCAATGCAAATATGTTCTAGTTATTATAACCATTAATGGTTGAACATACATATCAAATCAAGGGTGTACTATGAATTTCAGGTATTAGAAGTTAATAATGCCTGAGTAATTTGTGAAAATACACGTGAAAACCTTCGATTTTTAGGAAAAACAGTATGTCGCCAACGATTTTTTTGTTCTTTTCAAATGTTTTAAAGTATCGTGCCCATAGAAAAATTATATGTGCAAGATTGTTTTTAAGTTATTTTGCTACGCTGAAACCGATTCTCGCTATCCCGAATAGGTGCAATCAATATTGAAGGTGTGATAGGGACTTAAACTTGTGTCGCCAATGTTGACGAAAATTTTTATTTTTTAGTTTTTTGATTTTTTAAGCCTCGTGCCTTCAGTTTCTCAGTTTGGAAATAAATGGATCGTATTCTACGGCAAAAAATGAAGAGAATGGGCTTCATTCGAAATATGTGCTCATCAATTGGTCGAAATGCGAGCCACTCTAACAAATTGTGTTGCTGCGTAACTCATAAAAAAAAAGATGTTTTAACGATGGCACACTTCGAATTTTGAAAATTTATTCAAGAAACATAGTGTAATCTTATACTAACATGGAATTACGATATAAAAACATTGGTACACTTGTTTGCGTCAAATAAAATAGTAAAATAAAATAGTTTTTCAAAATGATTTTTTCATGTAAATTTTCATAACATTCTATAATCATAAATTATTGTATTATTTGATATACTTTGATAAAATAAAATTATTGGATGTGCAAAATGACGAGTATTTGGCCATAGATTGATTGTATCATATAATACGCGATTGTAATAGATCTTACGTCGAATGTAAATAAACAAATCAGTCTTGCCACGTTAGTTGACCAAGCAACATCGTCGGAATGGAGCTCTATTGTGAATAAAAGCGTGAATAGTGATGAAAATGAGTGAGCCAGTTAACGACAGAAATTCAAAGCTTGAAAAAAGCGAATGCATATGAAAAAAAGGGAAAGAGAAAAACAGGAGCGAGAAAGAAAAAAAATATCTACTGCAGAATGGAGATTAAATAATAAGGCTTCGAAATCTTTTGCAGGAAACACGTAACTATTAAAACTATATATGCTATACTTTGGATTCATTCAAAATAATATTAATATTTAAATTTTTAGTGTAAATGCTAACCCGCATCAGTTATCAATAGAGATTTCAAGTTGTGGAAACACTGATATATCAAATGAACTAACGTCTCATGACATTAGACGTACTCGAACAGAAAATGTATCGAATAGAGATGTAAACAAACGTACTTGAACTGGCAAATGTATTATTTTCCATCAAAGAAAAACAAAGTAGACAATTTGAGCTCGTCAGTTACAACTAACTGCAATACCGATGTGATATTTATTGATACTAATAGCTCAAATGATAAAGAATTGTTAAATAGAGACAATAGCTCGTCAGTTGTAAATGATAACTCTGAATTGCAAGGTTATACCGAAAATGAAAATTTAAGAAAACAGAACAAAGAATTATTAAATGAGAAGGCAAAGTTACTGAAAAAAGTCGATCAACTATCAAAATCATTGAAAGCAGTGAAAAATAGGGAAGCCAAAATTCGCAGAGAAATAGCACAATTGAATAATGTTATTGAAAATCTAAAAAAGAAAGTAAAGACTTTACAAAGGAGAATACAAAGATCCAAAGCTAAAAAGAAAAAAAGTGATCCCATTTTAGATAAAGTTTTACAAACAGAAAAATTAGGAAAAACTGCTATCAGAAAAAAATTAATATTTGGTGAAGCTTTAGAGCAACAGTTGCTTGAAAACAAGAGTTGTTTGAAGAGTGATCATGAAAAAACTGTGTTTTCACGAATAGTTTGCGGAAGGATAATTAAAACATACAAATTATCATCTGCACTCTCCCACCTTGTTTCTGCTAAGCAACAAAGAAAAAATGAAACACTTGGATGCCTCGATCTATTGAAAAAGAAAAGAAAACTTAATGAAAAAATGAAACAGTTGAGGATGAGTGTATAAAGTTTTTTTGAAGATGATAAGAATTCAGTAATAGCACCCGGTATTAAAGATACCATCACTAAGTTTGGAGAGAAAAAAAGAAAAAGATTCATCCTCG